CACACACACACACACACACACACACACACACAGAGAGACAGAGAGACTTTTTGCTAAATAAATCATGGGAACCACAGAAATATCACATGGACGATGAACTCTTTTGCCTGCGTAAAACACTTACCCATGGTGCATCAATGGCCCTTTGATTGAAGATTGATTTTTTTCAGACCAAATTACCACTACACCAGTACTAGCAGCATCAGTACCAGTATCAGTACTAGTATCAGTATCAGTATCAGTACCTGCATGCTGTCCGGCTGTATGAAGATGTAGTCCAGGCAGCCGTGAAATCCTCCCACGTAGTTGGTGTAGGCCGGCTGGCTGCAGGCGCTCAGCAGAGGGGGAAAAGTAGAGAGCAGCTCCATCCTGCAGGACTCCTCCGGACCAGAGCTGCTCCAGTCTGCATGCTGCAGAGGAACCGCTGTCTCACTGAGCAGCTGGAACACACCTGCAGACAGGAAGAGGAAGACGAACAAATGACTCAAATACAGAATGCATCAAGTCGAATATTGTCAACAGTCGTATGAGCCTCAACTGAAGTTAAGGCAAAGTGAATACTGGTGGAGACAGGTGCTGCTGTGGGCTTGAGTTCGGGTTACCTGAGTTAGGGGAGGAGTTAAAGTCACCACAAAAGAGCAGAGGGGCTCCAGGTGCGACCTCGTTGATCACGTGACTCAGGTGTCGCAGAGCCACGCCCATCTGGACCAAACGAACATTCCCTCCTTCAAAAAAAAAAAAAAAAAAAGATATTAATTCAGTCGTTTAGAAATGTGTCCTTGCACAGATTAAAGGGTACAAGTCGTCCCTCTGCTCTCTGACATCAGTGACTCAGGTGTGTTCACAGAGGAATGAGGCGCTCTACCTTTCGGGTGCCAGTACAGGTGAGTATTGGCCACGCAGAGCTTCCTGCCTGGTTTCTTCAGGTCCTCGAGCACACTGACCTGCAGAGAAACGAGTCGGGAAACACAAGAGTCACAACGCAGATTCACAAAGCCGACCAAAGTGTGTCACCAGTGTAGTAAACACTGTTACCTCCAGGTCTGAAAAGTGAAGCCAATGCGGAAGTGTCTTAAACCTGCATTCTCTCCAATGTCCATCAGGGGGCGACTCCTCTGGTTGTCTATGAGAAAATGACTCTACTTCTCTCTTGATTTATTACCTCAGTAAACATTGTAAACATGAGTTTATGGTCTCAATCTCTAGTTTCAAGTCTTCTTCAATACAGCATGATGTTCATTTTGTAAATTATGGTCCATTTAGAGTCACACAGACCATAAAGCAGGGGATGCTTTAGGGCGGGGCTTACTACCACAACGTTGTCTGGTCTGGGGGTTGTCCGTGTTTTCGTTTTAGAACTTAAATCATTTCACGGTGTGTTTTCACTTCATGAAAGTTAATTTTAACACCGCTAAAAAACTTCTTACATACAGTCTGTGTAAACCGTGATTATTTTTGTTGTTATTATTTTTGTCTATTATTCTTTTGATGAACTTATTAGCTCATTAAATGTCACAAGAAGGCAAAAATTTGTGTCGTTCTGAGTTAGTACAGCGGGTGAACAGCAGTACCTGCATGGCGGTGGACCTCTGCAGTATCTTGCGCTTCAGAGCGCTGTTAGCAGAAACGCTCTCCAGCAGCGTCGAATGGATGGGGTCAGAGGTCAGAGCCTCGCTCAGCACGATGTCATGCTGACTCAGCAGCTGAAACTTTGACCTAAACAAGACAAAATTATTTTATGGTTATAACCTGACTTATATATTATCAACTAAACACGGTGGTTGCAATACATCCTGGGTTGTGAGAGGAAAGAGAGGCGTGATCACAGCAGTGGAGGGTTTGACCTGCGAGATAATCAGCTTTGAACAACAATAAACACTTTTGATATCCAACGTGAAATTAACTTGTTCCGATCAAACAAAACCCGACCTTTACTGTCAGACTGTGGATTGTCCACCAGGGGGAACTGTTCAGTAACTATAACACGAGTTCTACACCTGACAAACAACACGTTAGACCTGCAGCAGTAGACACGATCAGTCCAGTTAATTGAGGAGTAGAAAAGGAAATTAATTAATTTATAAAATGTCTAAAAGCTAACATTTGGCGTTATACAGCCACCAGCTGGATTACAGAGTTTAATATCCACTATTTTGCTGTTATTTCATTCATTGTTTGTGAATTTAAAAGAAAGTGTAAATGTTGCAACACGTCTTTCATACTCAGAACAGTGGAGTATTTGAGTTTACTTATAGCACTAACACTCACATGTACTGTTGGACAGCTATCTAAACATTTTAAATGACAGCCTGTGCCCATGTGCATCATATGTGGCTGCAACATTTTCTTCAGACTGTGGCTGCTGGCAGACCTGACCTGCGGTAGAAAGTGGCCAGTCCTTCATGCTGCTTCTCTTTGATCCTAAAAACACCATCCAGACCGAAGGCATCCAGAGCTGGAGTCAGACTGTCTGAAAACACCCCTAGAGTCCGGAGGACACGAAGAAAGTCAGAGAGCAGACGTGCACATCCACCCGATGACAGAAAATATGGAGACAAAGTTCTTAAGCAACGAGTAATTTCCCGCCATAATTACCCTTGTCGACCTCCTGCAGACAGACGATGTCAGCATTGTATCCGGCCAGCTCCTTCTTGATCAGGTTCTGCCTGTAGTCCAGCTGCAGGGCGTAGGGCGCGCAGTACGGGTAAAGCACCGTCTTGGAGAGTTCTGTCTGAGCGTAGACGTCGGCCAGGATGTTGTATGTCACCACCCTCACTGCCGGCCACTCCGCCTCTCTGACGGTGTACGCGTGGCGGTTGTCGAACGTGCACACGCCTGGTCCGGCCTCTACGGCCCCCACAGAGACCAGCTCCTTGGCTGGGCCACTGCGTCCTCCATCTTTTGGCGTGCAGAGCAGCTTGAGCCTGAAGCCGATGTCCTGATTGGACGGGACGTGGACTCTCCCACATCCTACCTCGGTCCAGCTGCCATCCTGACGTGGAAGTTCTTCGGCAGCTTCAGGGCTGTGACAAGAAAGAGAAAAATGACTTTTTAAAAACCTTCTTCTCTTTATGCAGCCCAAATCACAAGCTAAATGTGTGTCTTTGTCAAACCGACTCCTACGTTAGAGTAAACATGACAGGATTCCTGCCCATATGGATATTTGGGTTTAACGTGTTCTTTTTTTCCATGTCTGCTTTTTGGTGGAGATGGTACTTGGTCGAGGATGGGTAATAAAGATTTGGGACATGCATTGTCTGTGCACTTCGTTGTGGCCTCAGTGGCTTGTGTTTGTTTTGTTTTGTTTTGTTTCTCTCTCTCTCTCTCTCTCTCTCTCTCTCTCTCTCTCTCTCACAAGACCTGGCCAATCTTTCGTGGTTGGTGTCCCACCTTATTTTTTTTACATATAAAAACGCCACTGTATGTTTTTACACTGTAATTAATTACCTTGCGTTCGGGGTATTTTCTTTATACCACGTGAACTCGCAGTCCTGCAGGTTCCCAAACTCGACCTCCAGGTTGGGGCAGACGGGGAACCCGGCCAGCAGGGCCACCGGGAGCTCCGCGGAGACGAACGTGGGAGCGTTCCTCCGGATCAAGTATTCAACGTCTCCCACGTGCAGCACGGATCCGTCCCGCCACGCCTCATAGTTCAGCACCGTGTCGGACACCTCTTCACCCTCGTGGTACAGCTTCACCACGGTGGGCTCCGGCTGCGGTCCCTTGTTGTTGTTCCTCTTCTTCTTCGACTTCTTACCTTGGCCCTTTGCGAGGCCGTTGGAGATCCGGACCAGGACCTTGCCCAGCGGCTCGTCCTGGTCCCGCAGCATGTTCTTGTGGCTGCCGTCGACCAGGCGGAAGGAGATGGTGAGTTTGGGCTCACCGGGGAGACACCTCACCGCGGCGGTGTGGTCCATCTCCATCCTGCCGAGGAGGCTGGTCAGAGTGAGGCTCCTCGGTGAGGAGGGGAGCAGGAGGCGGCGAGGGAGCAGTGCGAGGGCAGCGGATAGGTGGTTCAACATGAAGTCCGCGACGGCAGGAAGAGGACACTAAAGGCAAAAAACCCACACTAGCTATAATCGTTAAACTACGCCTGTAACGTTATCGGTAAGTCGCGTGGTTCCCTATTTATATATGTCACCTTCCTGACGTCACCTGGTGGTGGAACTACTATACAGTTAGCTACGCTAACATGCTCACCCGAAGAAGAAACCGGCAAAAGTAGAGAATTGAATTCAAAACGAATAAACCTCTGCTTTAAATAACGTTGAGTTTATTATATTCACACGAGTTGGTATCTGTAAATACTCCCATCAAGTCAATGCCAGTCGTCTTCTTCTTCTATGAAACATCATCTTCTTCGTTGGTGTTTACTGGTGGTTGACCAGTTTAAAGGCGCATTACCACCACCTAGTGGAGTGGAGTATGGAGCAGTAGCTTCACTTCTATGAAACATTACTGCTACCCACAAGACATACTATTCAACGTAACATAATTTTAACACGCATATTAATTCTACATCCATCTTTTTAACTTTTATTTATATTCTATACATATATTATATAAGTAGTCATGCTTTATTTTCTCTTATTCTTACTTTGCATGTGACTTTTAACATACTTTTAATCTTGATATTCTTAAATAAATATGCTTATGCATAAATGCAGACAATATAGTACATAATAAAAGCTGAGCTCAATATTATGAATGTTTCATAAATGCTTCTTTTCACAACAACAGAGTTTATTCGGCCGTTTCTATTTTGTACTAGCTGTGAGTGAAGTCATATTTATGTAATCATGTTAAGGTCCCCTGTGTTTGATCATGCTGAATCCTGTACAATGTAACCTTTGACTGAATTAATTTTGGCCTGATTGCCTTAACTAAGGCATTGTTGTTGTTGTTGGACGTCATCAGAAGATGCTGACCTTTGCTTTCAGAATAAAATCATGCAAGATACTAACTGAAAGAAGCAACATCAACCAAAGGAGGAGGACCAAGACACGGTTTAAAGAGAGAGAACAGATTCCCATCGGGGTGCATATTACAAACTAACCTCTTTTGTTTGTGTACCCCACAAGAGATTTTGTGTCGTACCTCATTGTCAGAGTGGGTTCACAAAATTGCCACAACAAAAAATATAGATAAAACAAAACATGCATTTTTATTGATATTTTATTAATTTTTTTATAAAGACAAATGCAGAAATTCACTAAAAGGAATATTAAAAAAAACACTAGAAATGTACATTTAAAAAATCTAATCCAGAGCTTGACGTGTCCCACTAGAGGTTTGGTGTCAGTTGTCAGCATCAGTCAGTGTCTCTTTTTGAAGTGTCTAATCATCCCCTTGGCTACTCTACAGTATATTTTTCTCAGCGTCATTTTCCAGACAGCAGTGTTCGGGCTGTTCGGGGCTTTGGGGGAAGTAGACGTCGGCCTTGTGTTCGTCGTCGTGCTCGATGTGTTTCAGGTGGACGACCATGTGCAGGGCGTAGGCCAGGACCAGCAGCAGGATGAGGGAAGTGATGAGGCCCATCAGGATGGCCGGCGTCATGAAGGTGGCGCAGACGGTCGCAGGAGAAAATGTACCGGAGGTGACGTTGAACGCCTGGATCTGACGAGGAGACAGGGACATTTTGAAGATCAAATTCATAGTGTGACGGTTCAGAATTCAAGTTTATCGTCAGCATACAGTGAAATAAATCCTCTTAGGATTCAGGGTGTGTAAGCATAGTTCAAATCCAAACAAACATTCAATGCAGATATTATATCAGTGTCATGTGGTACTGGAAAATAACTATTTCCATGCAAATAAATAAATAAAACTACCCCAAGCTTCAGTCAATTTTGTTTAAACCTGCAATAACCTGGACAGGTACCTGGAAGTTGGTGAAGGTGACGCTCCAGCGGCGGGCGTGGTCGGTGCTGGGCAGCAGCAGGGCGCTGTAGCGCTGCAGGCTGCTGACGTGGAGGCAGTGGTAGGAGGAGGAGGCCGGAGCGTACACGTCGCTGGCGTTGAACACGGCCTCCTCAGAGGTGTTGTAGAGCAGAGACACGCTGTCCACCGAGAACCACCACTGACCCGAAGACTCGTAGAAGGTGTTGGACAGCTGCAGTCTGACAACCGAGGCACGACAGGAGACCTTCAGTCCAAATTTTACAGTAAACGTTTCAGCTGCTTGCATGGCTGTAGACCTTTAAGCCTTAAAAGGTACCATGTGGAGCTTTTTAACTCTAGTAGCGCTGTGAGCAGTTTTGATATGAGTAGGATCCCTTTTTCCTTTGTGCCAATGGTCTCGCATTATTCCACTGATCTACAGGAGGTGGTGATGCACTAAGAAATACAACACACCAACAAAGAAGAAAACTGCAAGCTAACATGAATTTAAACAATGGAGGTCTTAAATGGTTTAAAAATAAAACTGGCTTTGCAAATGTTTTATGAGGAAGGAAATGCAGTCAACAGATTTGTTAGGTCCAAAATGTGTTTTGGTGAGTAACATTAAGAAGTTAGATCTGTCTTATCAGTGTGACCGCCTCTTTTACATAACATTTGATCGCATATTTGTCTTGATGAACATTATATGAAGTTATGTTTTTATGCGTGATTGTCAGACATGTTGTATGACTGACCTGATGGACAGGCCTCTCAAATCCTCCACATCTCCAAACCTCATAATCAGCCTGGTGAAGACAGACAGACAGACAGACATCAGAAAAATCATTTATGTTTTCTGATGCTTTTAAAGGTTTGTGTAAATCAGACAGACAGGTAGACAGTCGGGTCACTCAGACAGACAGGTGTACGTACGTGGCCTTGTCCTGGCGGCAGACAGACTGGCTGGTGTCGACAGGTTTCTGAGGAGAAAAGGCTCTCTCTGTCAGGTCCAGCTGCTTCTGCTTCTCATAGCGGAGAGACAGCTTCCTGGCCTGGAACAGGAGGCACGGCTCCCCATCGGACAACACCTGGTAGACGGGGACAACAGTATTACTGGACAACACCTGGTGGACGGGGACAACAGTATTACTGGACAACACCTGGTGGACGGGGACAACAGTATTGACTGTGTGTTGTGAGAGATGTTTTAATATTTTCTCAGCCATCAGTGTCTCTACAGTGTTTAGCTGGTAAATCATCTGAAGACAACCCCACCTTGAGGGGAGGGAAGGGAACTGCAACTCCTGGCGTCTGAAGTATCTTCCTCCGAGACACATCTGGAGACTGAGAAGGCTTGAAAGAGAGAGAAACAGAGAGAGAAAATACTTGTCCTACAGTTCTTGATTGAAACACAGCTGACTGACAGAGAGCTCATGATTCCAATCTGATTGTATTTGTATATTAAAATAAAAACCTGCATCCCCATACTAACCTCTAATCCTCATACCGTGTTTGCTCCTCTCCTGCTATACTTCCTTCCTTAATTCCTTTCCTTCAACTGCTCTTAAGGAATGAAAATCAGATGATTTCTTTCTCAGCAGTGAAACTCTCTTTGAGTGTCCTCGCTGACTCTTGCTCACTTTTACTAACACACAGTTTTGAATGCATTGCTGTATTTTACCACCACCATTTGTTTCTTTTTACCTCTAATTAGTATCAATACTTCTACTTGAGTAAAACACTGTTCTGCTCTCCTCTTCTCACAGTTTACCTGCAGTTGTCTGAACGGTTGGTCTGCAGACATCAAACGCTCCTCCGTCCACATCCCTCCATCACTATGTGCCATCTCTTCATCTGGAGAGACAATAACAGGATAGATTCCCTCATTTTATGAATTAAACCACATATAATATATACTTAGAAGCCCCTTGGGCAAATAAACATATCTAAAAACCTATATATATATATATATATATAAACAAAGACTTTTGTTTGTAGTTTTCTGAAAAGTTTACATTTTGGAGACACTAGGTTGCCTCTGACAACAGCAGTTACAGTAATAACATTTTTGGAGTCCTGCTGATTTGCTGGTACTTCTACTTCTGTGAAGGCTTCTGTAGTTATTTTTAAAAATGTAGGTTAATTTAGCTAGTTGGGTAAATGTATACTTTATATATTAAGTACTGAAATTACAGTACTGAAAGAATATGCAACATGACTGTTGGGTTCTTGTAATCTTCCGTTGTTGGTGTTGTTTTGAGTAGTTTTCTATTGGATCGATACACACGAATGATTCATTGATTGTTATACATTATTTCCCAACTATGAGCATAAGGAGCAACTACCAAACAATCCATCAGAGGGCTTTATGGGAAGGTAGTAGATTATCAAAACACAATGAATTATAAATATTATTAATATTTAGTATTTAAGGTGTGGGGATGTTTCTAAAGATAGATATAGATATAGATATAGATAAATGATACTCACCATGGTCTGGAGAGACAGCAGCACTGTGAACAAAAGTGTCAGGAAGATCAATAAATAAATAAATGTTTGTCATTTTTTTACTTTTCCCACTTTTAATTTAACACAGCTTCCTGTTTTAATTGATTTGATTCTCTCTTTCATTGATCAACATTCCTTTCTGTTTTTATTCAGGTCACATATTTAATAAATGATCACATCTGACACTAAATATCTGTCAGTTCTGAGGGTGTGTTTGAGATATTGTTTAAATATGAATGAATAAATATCTTCTTTTCTTTTTATTTCTCACTTTTTTCATTTCTTCTTCTAATTAATAAGTAGTGAGATTTGTTTTCATTTATTATTTTTTATATTCTAGATTGTATTTATTTGCATTTTTATCAGTTGTAAAGAAATACGGTCAATATTAGCAATTTTTGAAATAAATTTACAATCACACAATTAAAATCTAATTCTGACTCATTATCATTTGACAGTTGGCCAATGTGACAAGAAATATGGCTAAATCCAAATATGTTGATATGTTATTATGGGAAAACATAAACAATGTTGACATGTTAAAAGAACCTTGCACATAAATAAAGTTGTCTAACTCAGATTAAAGATTCTTCTTTAAATAAACAGTAATACACTATAATGATAGTGTCTAATAACAGAAAAGAAACAAAAACAAAAAGAAACGTCCAGTTACAAGATATATATATTTGGTTATAAGCCAAATAAATAATTGTTGAGAACTACTGATGGTTGCTTGTCAAATTATAGAAAATATAAGGTAACATCATGACAAATGTTAAAATGAGGTTTAGAAACAGAGGAGCGAGGGAAGATGATCACCAGATGATCCTGTGAGGTTTTGACTACCCAGAATGCATCTCGTTAGTCTAGTGACCCAGTCGTCTACCTGGTGGATTAGAGTTTAAGAGACCAGACAGAGTGATCAGTCTGGAACAGAGAAGTTCTGTTGCTGGGAGGACCCACTCTGATCTTATACAGTATTATGGTTACAGACTCTCTCTCCACCTCCCTACATCCATATTTTGAGTGTAATTAATTTACCAATAGAACAGAAAATAAATAACAAATATATTATTATTTTGTCATAAATGATAAAAGTTAAAGATGAATCTGACTGATAGCATTACTTTTTAAATTGTCTATTATGATATAATATTATGATAACATTGTTATCGTGATTTTCTTTTGTTTTGATAATCGTGTAGTAACAATCTGTTGTTGTGACAGCCCGTCGCCATGTTGAGAGCCGTGTGGAGGCAACCCCTCACTCTGTTTTCATAGATACGCTCTGAATATGGAATTTAGCACCTTCAATAGAAAAGGTAACTGAATTCGTACTCTCACATTTAAACCAAAATAATACTTTCTGTGCCCATTTGGTTACAACAGCCTGTGTAATTAGACAATATAAGAACTGTATTGATCACACACCAATTCAATAACGTAATAATAAAGTAGCCTGATGAAATACAAAATAGTCTGATATGAATGAGCCACGTGCACACTCCCCCTCTGTCCACGGACGTTGTGCCTCTCAGTATATGCAGAATAAAACATTTGTCTCAGCACATACTGAATGTATTATAAATGTGCTTTGATTAGAACAAGAGGCATAGAGAAGACAAATCCTCCCGACTCACTTGCAGCCAAAAAAAAGGTTTAGCTCCTCTTGTTTCGTCAGAGCCGGACTGTGGATTGTGGGATTGCATTGATTATATCATCATACAATCACGCCTAGCACCACACACACACACACACACACACACACAGACACACACACACACACACACACACACACACACACACACACACACACAGACCTACACACAAAGGATGCGGTGGCTCTGCAGCCAAAAGGAGATTTTGCAGCTTCTCCCTCCTTTTACAATCAGCAGCTGCCGACTATAACAAATGACAATCTACAAACAGCTGCCTTTCTCCAGCAGACACAGAGAGACAGTTTTGTTCCCCTTAAACAACGCTGATATCGAATGACTCTGCAAAAGCCTGGATTATGCAGACAGATTTCTTTTTTCGGGTCCAATGCCAACGTTTGTACAATTCTCGCTTTCTGCTACGAAGTTATGGTTTGGGAAAGATCATGGCTCTGGCAAATAAATGGTTGTGGCATGCTTAGAAGATAACTAAAACACGGCCACGGTTAATAAAAATAAGAATTCAGGTTTGCAACAGAACACACAAACGCCTGCATGAAAGCCAGACGTGCGGCCACATAACTGCATGCTGGGATACTGGTTGGTATGCATTTGAGTCCAATATTCATTATTTTAGCTCTAATTTAGGGACAAGCCTACAGAGAATTCTCACCAACTCTGCAGATACACAGAGGTTGTTGCTATTTTTTCATCTTTTCAGCCACATTTACTGTTTATTTCAGTCTCAAATTAGCATCATCGGATAAACCCACTGTCCTCTGACTGCTCAGAGCCAAACAGCAGACACACAAAATTAGAGATTAGCTGGTGAACATAGTGGAGCATTTAGCAGGGTGCTTATATTTATGCCAGGAGTTGGTACCAAAAAACAGCTAAAAGGAGAGTGAGTATTTGGATTCATCAGGTACAGAAACAAAACTCCAGCAGGATGATCATGTTGCTCTGAGTCTGCTGCATGTGAAATAACTGTTTACCATCACTAGATGATAATATGTCCAATGTTGGGTTTTTCAGATTGTTCTTCTGTCCCCAAATAACCAAATAAAAATGCACCTTTAAAGAAATAAACACAATGAAACTAGGTCCTGGTGGGACTCACAGTCACAACGCATCAGTAATCTTTGAGCTGACTGTGTCAAGTGTGAAAGATTAGAGCATTACGAGAGGTCAAAATCAAGAAGCATCAAGGTAAAACATAATCTCTTGTCTCTGCTTCACTTACCCGTTAGCAGTTTGTCGGTCGAGGCAGGTTGATGGTTTTGGATGCAGGAGAAGGAGAGAGAGGAAGAGGAGGAGGATGCAGCAGTGTTTCCATGGTGAAGCCATCGTGGTGGTGTTCAGAGAGGGATGCCAGCACACACACTCTCTCCTCCGTCTCTCCCCTAGTAATCTACTTTAATCAGCCCACCGTCTTTAAACCCCCCTGACAAACGGATGAATCAGCCAATCAGGGCAGAGCACAGGCATGAAAGGGGTCGAGAGAGCCCCGCCCCCTGGTTTCACCACATTTTCTCATTTTCACTTCAGCTCAAAATACATTTAATTTCAGGGGATTACAGGGCATCACAATGACGAGTGTGCAGACAGAACAACGTATTGAAGATACACCTGAGAAGTGAAATTGCCTTGAATCTGCAATTTTTCAGACATGGAATACAATCATGGCTGGCTTCTCATTAATTTAACAATTGATTGTATTATTCTACTACCTCTTTTATAAAGTAGGATACTGCACAAGCAAAGAATAAACAAATATTAAGTTGTGACTCATTTAGTTTGCAGTTTGTTCACATTCTGCAAGAGTGTTGATGGATAATTGAGAATAAAGAGAAGGACTGCTGGTCTGAATATTACTGTGGTTGAACAATTAAACTATTTGTTGCTGCAGGGAAACAAGACCAAGACCAGTGGTGGAATGTAACTAATATATTTCCTCAAGTGCGGTATGTAAGTACTTGTACCTGCATTGTGTGCTATTTTATACTTCTTATACAAAACTAAGAATAAAGCAAAACAAATGATTCACATAAGTTATATAAAATACAACACTAAATTCACATATTGCAGGTAAAAAAAAAGTCTCAAATAATGTTAAAAAGCTGAAACGTTTGGACTAACCTATAGAAATCTAAATGTATGTCTATAGAAGTCATCAGAATAAAAGTATTCAAATGATTTGTTCTGTATCAAAAATAAAAGCATACAATGAATCGTCATCGTACAACGAATCGTCATCGTTTTACCAATGGATGCATACCTTAACCTTCGAGTAATCATTTTAGTCAGGCGTCTTCTGTAGCCACTCCCAGCCGGGGTCCTCAGACTAGACATTTTGCCGCGGTGCATCTTGGGTCCTTCCTTTCGATCCCAGGCTCGCTTCTGCAATCATGGGTACGGCCTTAACTTCACCCTAAATATTCAATTATTCTGTTCACTGCTGACATTTTTCACGTCTATGTCGTTTATGAATATCTTACAAACTGTTTTCGATGCGTTTGCGCTGGAAAAAACTCCAACGATTACTTAAACACGGACCGTTTTTACGGTTCTCTCTTCCCGCAACGTGGAGCGGCCATAGCACATCCGAGCTGCGTGTTAGCATGGCTAGCGTAGCATACGTCCCGTTTACACCATAAATTGTTAATAATTACAGTATGTAACTAAACAGCTAAATAACTTGATGTCCTATGCGATCATGTATTACGCTTCAGACTGAGTGTTGGTAATCTCGGTTAGCATCATGCTAACACCGCTCGCAGCTAATGTCCAAAAGCTTCGTTAGCTTGTCTCTGTACGGTTGTCACAATTGCGGCAGGTTCTTTGGGGAAATACCGCTGTTAAACCCCTAGACGGCATTCATGTGATTTATAATGTTCATGTTTGCTCACTATTGGTGAACAGTAAAGACAAATGTATTAAACCGCAGTGGGTGTAAAGCTAACTGTAGATAGTTCCACACAAATTATTAGATTATCTTACATCTTCAATTGTTTTGTAGTTGGTGTGAATTCAGGCTTGATATAGATCTGATTGTTTTTTTGAAATATGCTGTCAGCCCACGCAATGATGCTGTATTTGTTGTAACATTTATAGAAAATCACAAATTTAAGCATTTATTTTTGTGTCAGTATTTTGACTGATGTGAAAACACTTACCTTGCGCTTCAGAGGCTACCTAATGACATCCCAGGTCTTAGAGTTTCAATACAATTAAATGTAGTTTGAGATTTAAGCAATCATGTTTCTCATTTACATGTGTATGAAATCGGATTAATGGAGGCAGTTGACAATGATGTGGTTGCTGTATCACCCAATCACACTTGATGTTACAAGTCAGAAGTTGTTCATAGCATAGTGGTGGTGATGCTCACTCACTTTTAACCCTGTATATTTAAGATAAAATGTGTGACCAACAGAAAAGGAAAACATTGTTTTCAGTTGCATAATTGTTGTAGGATACATTCTCTGTTCTACTGCAGCAGTGTGTGGTTTGGAGACATTTAAGCATTTCAAATATATGGGAAGAATGCTTTGTTGAATGTCTACAAGGCTGCATTGGCTCTAACATTATTTGTCTTTGTCTCCCAGGAAAGTGTCGTGGTCTGCGCACAGCCAGGAAGCTCCGTAACCACCGCCGTGAGCAGAAATGGCATGATAAACAGTACAAGAAAGCCCATCTGGGCACGGCCCTCAAGGCTAACCCCTTCGGAGGAGCCTCCCACGCCAAGGGCATCGTTCTTGAGAAAGTGTGAGTACCAAGAGACCTGCTGAACCATAAAAGATGGAGTGATGGCTGATAACAAAACACGGGTCATGGACAGCTCGTCGTTTTAGACTTTTGATTTTTGCCACTTAGACAAAGTCGACCCCTCAGTGGTCCATTCAAAAGCATCTTAACCAGAGAGCTTGATTCAAACAGTGACATTGGATGTTAACAACTCAAGTGACCCGGGGGTGCTGACAAAGTTGTTCTCTGTTGTCAATGTCACCAGGGAAACGTCAGTCTTTCCCTCATCATACCTACTGGAAAGTCATAGTTATGTTATTTCTGTGAAGTATTGCATTGAGTCTTTTACTAGTCTTTAAGGTAATTTGAACTGTTTTCATGTTAAGTTTAAGTTTGTTAAAGTGTTTTTTTCTCCGTCTGCAGCGGTGTTGAGGCTAAGCAGCCCAACTCTGCCATCAGGAAGTGTGTGAGAGTTCAGCTCATCAAGAACGGCAAGAAGATCACCGCCTTCGTCCCCAACGATGGTTGCCTCAACTTCATCGAGGTAAATACCTGCCCATTATACTAAGTGTATACTAATTGTATTCCAGGTTCAGCTAATTTAATCTGCTCACTTTTTCCCAAATCTACATGTAGATGCGTGTTTCTTATTTTACTGACCACCCTTGCTCCTCTCTCCTCCCCTGCAGGAGAACGATGAGGTTCTGGTGGCAGGATTCGGACGTAAAGGTCACGCCGTTGGTGACATTCCTGGCGTTCGTTTTAAGGTGGTCAAGGTGGCCAACGTGTCTCTGCTGGCTCTGTACAAAGGCAAGAAGGAGAGACCAAGGTCATAAACAGTTGAGGCAGAAAATACAATAAACATTTTCAATTACAGTCTGGTTGTTTCGTGTTTTAATTATTGGTCACAAATGTTACTTTTACAAGACTTAAAAAGCATGAAATGTTTACACTAGTACGGATTGTAGCAAAGATCTTTTTAAAAGTGTAGACGGGACGAGCCGGGGATCAAACCACCAACCCTGTGATCGGGGCCCTGTGGCCCTAGCTGGGGGGTTTCAAAAGCAAGTTTTAAGACCTTTAATATTATACTTTAACGATTAATATATACAGTAATTAATGAACTACTTTGATTATAAATGAAATACTTTTTCTAAAGCAAAAATGCCAAATGTCTCTGGCTCCACCTCTAACATCACCTGGGACTCTTCATGGACAAAACAATTTAATCTGAAAAGTAGTTGTCGGGTGAATCAAATATACTGCTCAGTGTAATCATGATCTGCCCTGCAGTGTCACACTGAATATCTGCTAATCAGTTCACTTCATAAACTCTTCTGGCGGTAAATATAGTAACAGGTGTCAGATCCCCCCTCAGCCTGAGTGCTGCAACCAAACGGCTGAATCATAGAGGTCGAGAGCTCACACGAACCTCCAGAGTCTTTCCCTGCAGAATTGAGACACTTTGATGACACTATTCCAGGACAAAGAATTTGATTTTGAGTATAACTCGTGTGTATTTGCAGTGCTTTACTATTAAAACACTGTGGAACATGAATTCATTGACAGAACCCATGCAGACATAAAGCTCTGGTTTCAGTCACGGGTCAGATACCTCTCCTCCTCCTGCTGCCGTCTACAGCAACAACAACAACAGATCCTCTTTTAATCTGCAGGGACTCGAACAGCCGAGTAGAGGAAACCAAAACGACTCTTCAACACAAACCCACAAGGTAAAGAAACAGTGACGTCTGTCAGCACAGAAACCTACAGCCAGAGAACCAAAGAGACAAACAACGGGGTGTGACAGTATAACACCATTAATATCAGTTACTATGATTCTAAGGGATGTTTGCAGCACTACAGTTAATTAACTGCTAAATTAAAAATAACAGCTGTGAGCTTCTTAAATAATGTACTATGATTATTAACTAAAATATACTGATGGTGCTCCTGTCTGTAACTCACTCACTCACACTTGTCAGTTTTGTTCAATACCATAAATAAGCAAATGTACTCTGTAGGATAACCATCAAGCTTAATAAGTACTGTTAGAACCTGAAACACAGACGTGTTGAAACTACCGTTTGGTTTAGGTTTGGTAAGATGTTATTGTGGCTTCTTACTTTCTAGCACTGAACGTTCGTGTCCACATTTACTGTACTTTTGGGAAATCTTACAGCATGCAATTATATTTTGGCCAAACAAACAGTGGTTATATACTGCATCTCTTCTTTAACAGAATACACAGAATATATATATATATATATACAGTATATATAATGGGGATAAAGTGGGCAGAATATGAATTCACAAAATCAGGAAGAGTCTATTTGACAGCAGAAATAGACGAGAAACAATCCGGTTTTAAGATGTTTTTTAAAGTTGTGCGGTTGTGTGAAACGGTTTAACCAGTTTGGTGCGTAAGAACCTGACTGGTCTGCACAAACACCTTTGAGATGATCACTGACTGTGATCCAGACCTGATCAGTGTTGCATGTTTACTGATGCTCTTGTGGCTGAATGGGAACAAATTCCTGCATCCTGGTTCAGAAATCTGGTGGAAAGTCTGAAACCAGAAGAGTGGAGGCTTTCATAGCAGATTAATGCCGACTATCACGTCCTGTTTCAGCGTTCAGGGGTCCACTCACCTATCAACATGTCGGGTTCATAACGTACTGCAGAAGGATCGGATTTAAACCAACACCGGCCTGCTGATCACGCACAAGTTCAGTGAAATATGCCTTTTTGAACAGGGCCATCGTCTTCATCATGGAGTTTGTGCGATTTGGGCTGCAGGAGGATGATGAGGATGAAGACGAGGACGCAGCGACTCAGTACATGATCGAACAAAGTCTTCTCGAGAGCAACAAACAGAAGGAAGCTCAGAAACCAAGGTCATGAATCCTTCTCTCTCTATCTTCCTGGTTTGTTTTGGTGAAATGATCAACTCCTACATGATGGAAGTTCTGCTCTTTCCTTTACTGTCCTGTTACTGGATTTGCAATTTTCCCTTTTTGTTTATTGAAGTTTATATTCTGAAACAAATTTTGTGTAAATTTGAGTTTCTTCCACGAACCGAAAGAACTACAATTTTAACACAAAAGACATTAAAAAGATGAAAAAATTGAGCATAAATATAAAATATAAAGCTTTATACGTTTCCCTTTAACCACAAATTAGTTCATAATGAAAAGAAAAGCTTTTTATTGTTTTTCTTTGAACACCAACCAGTTGTTAAAGTCATTTATATTATTCTTATATTTATCTTTCACACGCCCATTTTTAGAAAAATGGGCGTGATTAGAAATTAGATTAGAAATTTAATTTACAATAAATTAAAAATATTTGAATCCCTTTTATCAACTGACTGGAGGTGAAGGAAACTCATTTTGTAACCAATTCATTATACACTCCATTGAATTATTTAATTAACATTATTATTTCTCGGCAGTTTTTAAGATGAGCTGAGTTTTGTCAGAAGACCCTAACCCAACTTTCCAGCGGTGAAATGCTTCTTTAATCTGTAAGAACTGGAGATGTTGAATGTTGTAATTAGTTGCACTGAATAGTTCGTTACTTTTCCAGTTACTTTTTGAACCAATATTATCCCCAGCAGGTGAAGCTCTTCAGATCAGAGGACTTTTCCTCTTCAGTTTCACAGAAGTTAATTCTACTTTGTGTTTAATTTAACATCTTCTTTGCTCACAGCTCCGGGCCGGAGTGTGCACACAGCAGCCCGATCTTCACGGCTATAAGACAAGGTGAGGATACAAGGCGTGTATCCAGGTGAATGCTTTTGTTGTGGTTTACTATAAAATAATACAAATTAAACTGTCAGGTATACATTTTAAGATATCCTTAGAACTCATGATGTATTTTCTGGATTTAGTTGTGGTTAAGTTGATTCAATTATTTACTTTTTTAGTTTCTGATGGCTGCTTTTCACTGACATTACAGCTTAAACGCTCTGTAAATAACTAATTCTGTGTTCCTCTTCTGAAGATTCTGAAACAAGAAGCAGAAAATTAACATTTTATATTTAAAAAAAAATGTCACGATGGCTCCCTTGAAATTTGCATTTATTTGACAGACATTTTTTCTTTATTTTAATAATAAAAAACAATAAATAACAAAAAAATACATTATTTTTGACTCAAAAAGTAACTAATGTGATTTCAGTTGGACTTTAATATCTAGTTTATTCTTTTTCTTAGTGGGTTATTTTTTATTTTAAAGGGAAAGAGTATTTCCGACCTCCTAATAATATAGAAAGGGACAGAAGTTGACATATTTACTGCTGCTGACCCTCCGTCCCTCCAGGTAACGAGAAGCTCTTAAAGGATCTCATCGTCCGACAGAGAGACGAGTTCTCACAGACAGACAGCCGAGGTTGGACTCCTCTGCATGAAGCAGCAGCTCAGAGCAACCAAACCATCCTGGAGCTCACATTCAAAGGTTTGCATCTGCTTGATACTGATTGTGCACAGCTTCACAATAACAAAACACCCAACTCAATTAAACAGAAGCTTTACCAGATCACACAGTGGAGCGTCATGTCCTCCAGTTTCAGGCTCAGACTCCGTGGAGAGTCGCACTCTTCGTGGTGAGACTCCTCTCCTCCTGGCGGTAGAAGGAGGTCTGATAGAAAACGCCTCCTTCCTCCTTCAACATGGAGCCCAGCCGGACAGTCAGGACCAGGACCAGGACTCAGCGCTGCTCGTAGGTAGGCTGACCAACGCTTCACTGCCTGTTTCCCTCAGTGTGGGCTGAACTCTAAAAACTATTTCATAAAAGTCCTATAAATTGTTGCTATAATTATAAATACCGAAACACAAGCTGCAGACATTCTGTCACAGTTTAAACATATTTGCCGTCCTTCTGATTAATTCCTTCATTTAAACTGAAACAAACTGCAGCGGGCTGAGGAAGTACTCTGATCCTTTACTTCAGTAAAAGTAAAAGTTCTGCATCTAAAATGTTATTTGAGTAAAAGTATGTAAGTACAATCAGGAAACTGTTCTGAAAGTATTCAAAGTAAAGTACTCATTCTGAGGATGAATGTCCTGCGACTGTTATACTATCTATTATATCATTATATTATTATATCATTAGATTATTATTATTCACGGTTTATGTAAAAGCAGGATTTTACTGTTATAGTTGGTTGAGGTGGAGCTCATTTTCATTATGAATCAATCTGCTGATTATTTTCTCCATTAATCAATCGATTGTTGACACCGTCAAAATGTTTGTTTGGTCCAACCAACAGTTAAAACTTCAAAGTTATTAAAAATCTAATTTAAATGATTAACATATTTCTGACATCAAAATAGTTGCCATTTAATTTTCTACCAATCAACTTATTGATAGTATAGTAGTATAGTTTATAACAAAGCATGTTTTATGAGCACGTCACATGTTTTTTATGAATACATTTTATTTGTAAAGTAATTAGCAGCTAAAACTGTAGTGGAGGAGAAAATACATTTTCTTCTGCGTTGTATTAGAGTAAAAGTATAAGTGGTGTGAAAATACGCAATACTCAAAAACAAGTACGTGAAATTTGTGCTTAAGTACGGTACTTTGAGTAAACGTACTCAGTTACTTTCCACCGCTAATAAACGGTGGCTACAAACTGTATGTTGTTTACGTTTGTTTACAAAATAAAACACAACATTGTGCTTCTTTTCATCGTCATCGTGTTTGACTCCTTCCCTTCTGCAGCGATCCGTTCAGACCGCGCTGACCTGATGAAGCTGCTGCTCCAGCGGGACTCCCGGGTGAACCAGGCGGGCTGCCACGGCCGCCGTCCCCTCCACGAGGCCTCGCGGCTGGGTAAGACGCCGCTGCTGACGCTGCTGCTGGAGGCCGGAGCGCAGACGGACCCTCGGAGCGACTACGGCCTCACGCCGCTGGCACTGGCCGCTCAGGCCGGACACCTGGAGGTGGTGGAGACGCTGCTGAGGAGAGGTGAGAGAGCAGGGACGTCTGGGAGCGGAACAAGAGTCCTCAAAGTTCAACATTTTACTGCTTCTTGTCAAACACTGCCTTATTATTTTACCTGCAGTTCTTAAGTACATCTATGCAGTATATCAAAAAGTACAGCTACTGAAGTACTTGCTTACTTGAATATTTGTGTTTATTTTGCTGCTTTATTCTTTAGCTCCACAACATTTCAGTGGCAAATATGGTACTTTATACTTCTCTACATATATTTCATGGTTAAAGTTACTGATTAATTTGCAGATTAAGATTTTAAAAACACAACATATAAACAGTTGATAAAAACATGACTTATTGATATATATATATATATATATATATATATATAGTGTATTAACTAGCTTCACCTCAACCAGCGAACCAACTTAAATGCTGCTTAGATTAATGCACCACAGCAGTACTTTCACTTTTGATACTTTAATATCTCGTCCTGTCATCAAGTGGCTAACTTACTTTCTCTTTTTTTTTAAACTCAATCCCCTCTTGTTGTCCATCCTGCAGGGGCGGACGTCCTGTCCCAGGCGCAGGACGAGGCCTCCATCTTGTACGAGGCGTGTTCGTCAGGAGATCCAGAAGTCATCAGTCTGCTGCTGGAATACGGCGCCGACGCCAACGTGGCCAAACAGACGGGACACATGCCGATCCACCGCGTCGCACACCGAGGACACCTGCAGTAAATGTTAAATATTACATCTTATTCCATGAGTCATTTGTTGTGTTTTATTCTGTAAAGTGGTTGTAAACTACATCATCAGATGGAGGTGTGTGCGTGCGTGCGTGTGTGTGTGTGTGTGTGTGTGTGTGTGTGTGTCTCAGAGCTCTAAAGCTGCTGATTCCAGTCACTTCTAAGGCAGAAGTCAACGACATCGGGATAAGTCCTCTACACTCTGCTGCTGCAGGAGGCCATCCACACTGCATCAAGGTAGGTGTGTGTGTGTGTGTGGAAAGTAACTAAGTACATTTACTCAACTACTGTACTTCAGTACAAGTTATAGGCATTTGTACGTTACTTGAGCATTTTCATATTCAGAGCATCAAAAATTATAATACAGTAATATAATTATTATTATTTTGGAATATGACATTCTGCATTAAAAGTACTTTTACTTTTGTTACTTTAAAGTACCAATATGTAGGATTTAGTGGCATCTAGTGAGGATACTTTTGTACTTTTACTGAATTTGTCTGTTAAACACACAACTGAATGTCCCTCCTCCCCATCTCCCATCAGGCCTTGCTGGACGCAGGTTACGACCCCAACTACATGCTCCATCCCTGGGCTCGGCGCAGCTATGACGACGAGAGGAAGTCGGCACTCTTCTTCGCGGTCTTAAATAACGACGTGCCGTCAGCCAAACTGCTGCTGGAGGCCGGGGCCATGGCCAACCAAGACCCAGTCAAATGTCTGCAGGTACCCGTGTGTGTGTGTGTGTGTGTGTGTGTGTGTGTGTGTGTGTGTGTGCGTGTGTGTGTGTGTGTGTGTGTGTGTGTGTGTGTATATTATCTACCAAAGATTAAAAACCTCAAACTTCATATACAAAGAAGTTGTTCAACAGTTTGGGAAACACAGTAATGCACTTTCTTTCTGAGAGTGAGATGAGAAGATTGATCTCATGTTTGTGTTTGAAGTTCAGAGCTGAAGTCAGGATGTGGTTAGCTTAGCTTAGCATAAAGACTGGAAGCAGGGGGAACCTTTTAGCCTAGCTCTGTTTACAGTGAAAACAAATACACCTGCCAACTAACCCATGAAGCTCACTAATTGTATCTCCTTTGATTAGTCGGCACATAAACGGAAGAGTTTGTGGTTTTACGGGGAGTTATTTGCTTGAACTATCTTTTGACAAACAACAGTTGTTGCAGTGATCGTGTTCAGGTTTCTGAAGTGTTGTTATCACAGTGAGGTTGCCAGGTTTGGTATCATTGTGCCTATTAGGGATGTCCTCAACCAAAGAACTTCTTAGTTGACTAACCCTCACACTGATTTGTTCACTAATCGATACTTGGCGGATGTATACGCTGTTGGTCGGCCTGTCAGCCCATCACCTCCCTGAGCAGAATCCTCTGTTGCTGATCCAGTGACTGTGTCTTTAAGATTTCACTGCGTGTGGGCAACTATGAGTTGATCAACCTGTTGCTGAGGTTTGGAGCCAACGTCAACTATTACTGCAGAATAAACACAACGCACTTCCCGTCAGCGCTGCAGTACGCTCTCAAAGACGAGGTAAACCGTTGCTCTTATTATTGTTATTATTAAAAAAACATTTTATAAAAACATTAGTTTTACTTCACACTGTAAGTACAGTTGTCAGCTTTTGGTTGCTGTTTTTGAGTTGAATCTGGCCTGCTGTGTGTGTGTGTGTGTTAGGTGGTCCTCAGGATGCTATGTAACTATGGTTACGATGTCGAGCGTTGCTTCGACTGTCCCTACGGTAACGGCTCCCACATCCCTGAAGACTACGAGGGATGGAGCAACTCCGTGATCAACGACACCAAGGTAACGTAAAGTTCATCAGTAGAGCTCGCTCAGTGTTAAACTAACTGAAACATAAACTAGGAGCTGAAAAAAGTTGCCTTGCTAATATAAAAAATACTCTTAAATCTCATTTTCCTAAATGTCCTAGAAAGGGTCATATGTTGTGGTATATTTAGGTTGAGAGGTTTCCTGTCATAGCTGTTGGAAAAGTGTAAATGTTGACCTGCTGTTGGCTAAAAGAGAAGTCACAGGATCTCTAAAGCTATTCAAAGGAATAGTTCACCCA